CGATCTTATAATTAATTGTAAATAATAATTTTTATTTAAACTAATAGAGAAAAGGTCACTTTGGAAAAAAAATGGTTAGTTACATTTAATAAAATGAGTGAATAATTATTTTTTTAAAAATATTTTTTTAAAACTTAAATATATTTTTAGTTTTTTAAATTTAGAATAAAATTATTTTTGATTCTTAAAATTAAAAATTGTTATTTTTTTATCCTCATAATTTTTAAAATTTTTATTTTAATCTCTTAAATCACTAATAATATATGTGAAATTGGCGGATTAAAATAGTAATCAATGTGATGTTTTTACTAATAAAAATATAAATACGTAATTTTTACACGATATTATTTAATAATTTTTCTAACAAAATTTGAATATAAGAATCAAAACAATATTTTTCAAAATTACATAGGCTAAAAAAAGTTTTAAATTTAGGAGAATAAAAATATATTTAAACTATTCTTTAAATATAAAATAGGGATATAAATGTAATTGAAAAAATAGACACCAAATAAATATATTTCTTTTATATATTGTTATAAATTAATAAAGTAAAATTATTGAGTTATCCTACGCTTAAAAAAGGTGTACAATTGTCATAATAAATAAAAAATAATTTATTTTTAAATTATAGGAAAATAATAATTTATTTTTATATATTAATTATACGTATAAAAAAAGATCGGCCTACTTGGCTCCAATAGTTTCACAAAAGTTTAAATTCAATTAATGAGAAAAAAGTTTGAATAATAAAAATATTTGCATGCGCTGAAAAAGGACATTTAGAAATCAAATAAGAAAATTAATTAAATCTTCAGCATCTTATTAAATACTTTTTTAGTCTCAATTTCTCTCACATTTAAGATTATGATAAAAATTAAGAAATATAGTTAATATTTTAGATTTTATAATAATCATTCATTTATATTAACTAGATTCTCCATCTTTTATATATATATATATATATATTATTTATTTATTTAATTTAATCACTTTACAATAAATATTCAGGAAGATAATAAGAAAAAAATATTTAAGATCTTATTGATGTCTCTAAAATAAAAAAGAAATGGAATGAAATTTTTTTATTAAAATGTCAAACAAAATGCAAAATGAGCGTATTTTATATATTTTTAAAACATAATTCTAAAATCACATATATTATTCATAAAGAACAATTATATTTAAGTCAAGTAAAATTAATATAAGTAACAAAGTTTTTCTTCTTAATATTTAAAATAATTATATACTTTGGGCTTAAATCAAAAATCACATGTTAAACGAAACTATTAACATACTTGCTAGTAATTTTTAGAACATTAAATTCATTTTTTCATTTAATATTTTAAAAATATATGTAAAAGTGTTTTTTTAAATATTAAAAATTATAAATAAAGATAGTATAAAAAATAAAATGTATTTAAATTTAATTAATTTTTTATAATGTAAATTAATTTGTTTATATTAAAATCTAATTAAAATTATTATAAGTTCGTTTGTTTAAATTTAAATTTTTATAAAAAAAATATACTTCTTTAATAAAGTAAATATTAGTAATATGTAAAAATAGATACAAATAATATTTTATATATTATTTTTTAATTTTTATTCCTATATAACACGTCATTAAATATCATGCTTAAGTGATGATAGATTAGGATCATTAAATAATGTTAATATTTAACGATCAATAAATATGAAATTGATGATATGACCAAAATTATATATTTTTAAAAATAAGAGATGTAGTTTAGTCTTTTACTTAAAAATATATGTTAATATTAAAAAATGTAGAAGTAATTAAGAATTGTTTCTTAAAAAAACTGTATTTAAAAAATGGAAATTTAAACAAACACATCAAAAAGTAAAAATAAGTGCTTTTTTTTATTAAGAAAACGTTTTTATAGAAAAAAAATTCAAACAAATGGGCCCATATTTCGGTTGATTTTTATGTTAATTATTTTAAATATTACATTTAAGAGAACTTTTTTTAATTAGTTGACATGTAATTTACACATGGAAATTAATCACAAATTATTTATACACTCCTGAAAAGGATCTTTGATTAATGAACGTTGGTAAAGAACGGGTAAAGAAAAAGGTCGTTGCAAAAGTGAAAATCTCACCAATTTACTGTCTGATATAATTTACTTTAGAAAAACAATAATTTATTCATAACAATATTTTGAAATCTATTTGGCAGCCTAGTGGTAAAGAAATAGATAGTTGAGAGCAAGTTTTTTTTTTTTTTTTTTTTTGAATTGTTGATAGAATGATAGTACATTCTAAAGATTAAGTAATAAATTTATGGTTCGTTTGAATAAACTTTTTTCAAAAGTCTAAACATCTATAGGAGAAAAAATATAAAAAAAATATAATAAATTTATGGCTTTATATATATTTAGTTTGTAAAATCTTTGTGGTATAAGTTCTTGAGCATGATTAATTTTTTTTAATGGATAAGAATCCAAACTCACGTAAAACAAATAATTTGAATATATATATTTAATTATTTATACTCGACAAGAATTATTCTCTGTACTTTATCCTTTTGATTTTCCACCTTGAAAGTCGTACGATAAAAGGACATTAGGTTATTTTTACCTACAACCTGCCCCTGTCCTGTCCTGTACCAACATTTTGACTGCATATTTATTTTTGTAAACATGTTTCTACAGAGTAAAATTTAGTAAATAATGCAACTCATGTTTTCCATTTAATTAATTTTATTCAATAATAACACGATGAGAAAAAAAATATAAAAAAAGTCATGTTCTTAAGTTGAATAGTTGTTAGGATGAAAGTGCGTGGTGGCGTGAGAGTTAGGCAATGCTCATTTTCATGGTCAAGGGAGAAAAACCATGCGTGACACTCACGAATATTAGGTAGTACTAGTAAAGTAAAACAACTATCGATGCATTAGGTGAAAGAAGAATTTAATTGGAATTTCTTAGTCTTTATGAAATACAGAGTGATGGTGTTTTTTTTTTTTTTTTTTTTTTTTATTTTTTTTTTTTTTTATTG